AACGCTACAGCAGAAATTGCCAGTAATTCGTAAAGTGATTTGATCAGCCAGTATTGGTCTGGACCAGGGGTGCCCAATCCCGGTCCTCGAGAGCTACCGTCCTGCAGCTTTTAGATGCATCCTTGTTCCCACACACCCATATCAAATGAATGGCTTGTTATCAGGCCTTTGCCAAACACGATGGCATGCTGAAGAGGTAATCAAACCATTTGATTCAGCTGTGTTGGAGTAGGGATGCATCTAAAAGCTGCAGGGTAGTAGCTCTCGAGGACTGGGATTGGGCAGCCCTGGTCTGGACAGTAATACTGTGCCTTTTTTTTACTCTGGTATTTTATATTCAGTTTCATTTACATAGTGTCACAACAGTTGCCTCAAAGTGCTTTATATTGCAAGTTAAAGACCCTACAGTAGTAGAGGGAAAACCAGAACAATCAGATGACAGTGAGAAGGATAAGCTCCCTTTTAACAGGAAAGACCTCTGGCAGAAATGGACTCAGGGAGAGGCAGCGACCTGCTGCGACCACTTGGGGACAGTAACAGGGCAAAATACGCACAGTAGAAGACACCCGAATACATGTGTGTACATGCCCATGATCGGATGATTTAGTGCACAGTGCAGTGAAATAAACATTTTAATTCTAGTTAATTATTTTATCACGGAGTTTTCTCTCAGTGCTGCTGTTGATTTCTAAGATGATGGCTGCACATTTGAGCTGTGAAACTTACTGTCCCAGTATCATCCCAGTAGTATCCCAGCCTGATAAATTAGATGTGAAAATTCCCTCAGTTTGATGCATATCAAAGTGAAATTAATTTTGAACAATTTAATTTGATTAACTTGATGTGTGTCCTGTGTTTCAGAAGATTAGAATCACATATAACAACATTTATACATTTTCAAATTCACCAAATGAATAAACAGACCTTCCTTTAACAGTGCGGCACACAGTTTGAGCTTCACCCAACGGTTTTAGAAAGGAACAGCTTAAGAAGCTGCACATATAAAACATATTCCCCTAGCAGAGAATCTATAATAAGCTTAAAACCTGCCGTAAATAAAAGAAACAGTGAAAATGTGGCACTCCCAGCTGATTTTTAAACTAAAACTCTGAACACAACCTGCTCCTGACAATTTCAGTTTAGATCCTTTGCTGCAGACTCAGAGCTGTTTTGAGATTAAATATCAAACAAATATCAAACAAAAGCTTTATTCTACGTGCAAATTTGATGTGGGGTCAGGAAGCACAGTGTAGGTGTTCCGTTTTAAGATCAGTACATGGACTGTAAAGTTTATTTGTCAAGAAATTCATGAAGTCATTGCTAGTCAACGTCAAGGGACTGGCTGACTCAACAGAGCTCTGACTTTTTGTCAGCCTGACTTCAGTGCTGAGGAGAAACCTAGGGTCGTTCTTATTTTCTTCAATCAATCAATCAAGCTGTTCTAGCTTTACGGAGGGTTTTTTATAAAGCGGCAAACTATTCCTCCAGGCTAAATGATCATCTTCTAAATTTGTGATATGCCATTTTCTCTCCAGCTTTTGAGTTGTCTACTTTAAGGTGCGCTTTTGAGGGTTATACCAGGGAGTCAAATACTAGTCAGGCTGTCTTTTTCACAGGAGCTACAGCATCCAGAGTCATACGTAGTGAAGGGGTAAAATTATTAACGAGATAATCGACCTCTGTTGGAGTAGTGTTAGTGCAGCTACTCTGCTCTGTGTTGGTACAAGGAATTGAAGAAGATAACTGTGGATGATTATATCCTTAAACTTAGTTACAGCACTTTAAGAAAGACATCTACTGTGACTAAAACTACTCTGCACTGCTGTGTAATTATTTATTGTAAATTTAAATGTTATCATGAAGTGATAAGACGAGGGTTTTCAGGAAACACTGTTAAATGCTCAGTTTCTATGAACATTTAACAGCAAGTAATATTCCCTTCCATGAGTTTTATATAGTGCTTTTGAGCCTTTATAAAGGACTCTTCTAGTCTTGCTGACCACTCGTAGTGCTTTAAATTAAAGTTATTAACCATTGTATTCTCTATATCATAAGCACTTGACCTCATATCCATGACCAATTTAAAATCACAAATTAAGCTAACATTACTCATAGGAAAGCCTAAGCAAAGATTCAAGCCAGGAACCTTCTTCCTGTGAAACAGCAACGCTAACCACTGTTCCACCTTACCACCCAGTAATCTATATTACTTAATTTCCATCAGTTAAAGGCAAATACTTGGTCTTTAAAACTTTTAGGCAGTAACTGTATCCACCCGAAGATCTAAGGGAGCTGATGGGTCAGTAGGTGATTACTTCACATTTTCCTATCTGGAACATGAACTGTTCTTGGGTCGGATCTGGTCTGTGGCATAACAGTGATGTACGCCAAAAAGAAGTGAACCACTCTCTAATAATGAAAACCCAGATTCAGGCCTGAAGTCACTGCAGGACTGTGAGAACCTTTTTTTTTTTGGTTTCTCTTTTAATGATCCCTTGAGTATTTTACATTCTTTAGTAGTGCTCATGATGTGTAACTTTGTCTTATCAGAAACATATGTTAGAGAAGCTCATTTCCTTCAGATGATAGCAGACATTCCTTAACATCTTACAGATCCTCCTCATTGACTACTAGAGCTTATGGATTATCAATCAGGTTTCAGCTCTAAAGTCGAATTCCAGAGAAAAACAAGCTGGAAACAACATCTGCCTGGAAGAAAGAAAATCAATCAAAAACTGACAGACTCTTTGGAAAATGGTTTCCACTAATGTAAAGAATGTCCAATTAGTATTTAATGGAAGCCAACATGCCAAACCACTGGTATTGTCCTTTATACAGTCCTGGAGTCTGTTCTCGAATCGCTGGTCTTCTGAATGTGAATGCAGTGGTCAGATTTCCCAGAAATCCAAGATAAATGGAGTTCATGTGTGCTGATGTGGTTTGATATGCTGGAAGTGAGCACAGCTGCCAATTTAAAGAGTCAGCAGAGTGGTGCTGTGGTTAGCTGAGAGGCCTTCACATAACTGCAGGTATCAGGTTTCTGCAGCTGGAAAGTCAAACTCATCATGGAGCTGAACTTCAGTTGTAAATCTACAGATTCTGCAAATGAGTTAAACTCGGACCCATCTTAAGAATCTCTACAATTTTGAACTGTGGTTCATGGTACATGCACCACAACTTGGACTTGGACTATGATTTCAAAATTAGTTGACTAGTGGCATGGATGTTTGCACGAGTGTATTCTTGCACAGCAGTGGAACAGTATTGCAAGTTTTTTTTTTTTTGTCCTCCCTTGTTTTCCTGTTATGTTACATCTTTGACTTTTGTCTCCTGATCCTGGTTCTGCTGGAGTTTTCCTTGTGTTAAAGGGGAGTTCTTCCTTGATTCTGTCACTGCTTACTCATAGTCTGACTGCTGGAATGTTTTTCTCCAAAATTGTGGGGTCTTACAATGCAGAGTGCCGTGAGGTGGCTGTTGTTAGGAACTGGCACAATGTAACTAAAAAAAAACAAGACTCTCTACTTTCTAAACTTTCTCTCTTCTATCATTTGATCCTCAGTGTGGTACCGTTACTGAAGGAGTCTATTGGGATTCTGATGCAGAGAACTCCATTTTCACTAGACCATGCCCTACCAGAGTGCTACCAGAGGGTGAGTAGTGACCATACTCAATGTTCAAAGAAGAGGTAGGAACTGAGCAAACATCAGTATTTAGCATAAAGTTAGATTTTGATGTACTTTGTCAGTTACTTGACAAATTAATAATTTAAAAGTGTATGCAGCTGCATTTCCTGGAAGTCTGATTTTGCACAGATCGTCTTAGGATGCAGTTAGTGGAATAAGAACCAGTTCTTTACTTGTTGCAGGTTCTGGCAGTTCATGACAATAGAAACCAAAGGTGCCACTGAATAGATTCTGTAAATATGTATTTTAGCGTATAAACTGTACATTTCTTGATACTATCATTAGTAAGTAATCATTTGTTTTAGTAGTAGTAGTAACAATTGTAGCACTAATTTAAGAAGGTAATTGTACCTCAAGCCCTTGAATGGAGTGGACAAGTCTGATGTTTGTTTTGTTGTGGCCAGGTGCAGCAACTGCAGGGAGTGTATAATCTGCAGGAGCCTCACTTCTGGACTCTGTGTACTGATGTTTATATCGGAACATTAAAGCTGCTGGTCGCCCCTGACGCTGATACCCGCTGGATCCTTAGCCAGACACACCACATCTTCACGCAGGTACCTAAACACAGCTTCATTCAAGTACACTGTACCTGGTGGCAGTTGAAGTTGTAGATGTAGGGTTGTGTCAGCAGCACCATTCTTACAAACTTTACTTTCAGTAGCAGTATTGATGGTTTGATGGTAGTAGGATGTCAACATAGTATTCAGCCACGATGAATGGTTTTGTCTCCACAGGCAGGAGTTCGGCAGCTGTATGTTCAGATCGACACAGCTGCCATGTAGAAGCTGCTAATATTCCACTACACTTGGGACCAATCGCATTCAGTCTACTTCTGCAGGTGACTTCTGACCCCGACAGTCACCACAGCACAGACTGGAATAGGGGGAGGGCTCTCAGAACTGATGAACTAAAACAGCCCCACCCACTTTCTTAAAAATAAAAATAATAATAATAATCCTGCTCACAGTGGAAATTCTGCCCCTCCCACAAAGAATTATGGGTAAGTGCCTTTGACATGAGACAATCTGAGCCCCTTCCAGCACCTCTGACATCACTGCTCAGACTTGATTGGTTGACAGTGCGTGTGAAGTCACTCTGTATGTGCCAAACCATGTGACCGACCAGTGGATTTAAGCCTTTTTTTTTTTTTTCTTTTAAAAAAATAAATATTTATTACAGCTGTAATAAATAAATCTGGTTCTCTAAGAATGATTATTCATAATCACATCTGTAGTACTGATTATAGAACTGAGTTAATTAAACAGCTGCAGGAGGACTGGAGCCCTATGGAAAGAAAAGCTCTCACTTCACGTGCAGTAATATTTGTACTTGGTTTTAATATCAGAATTGTAAACAGCGGTGCCTCTGCACGAGTGGAAACATGCAGGTTTAACATGACATGATCACAAGTTGGAGCTGAGTTCAAACATATTTCCTGCCTCCTTCAAATGTTTTTTTTAAATATATTACTTTAATTCATTTTTTCTGCATCTGTGTTTGTGACTTCTTTGTGAGGATTACTTTAAATCCATCACAGTTAGGGAACATTTTTGGCCCCAAAAAGATTCAGAGTTTGGGAATTAGGGAAATGCTTAATATTAATGCCACTGAATCCTGACTAATGACTCAGCCTTGTATGGCTGTTTTTATCACATAACAACAACAACAACAAAAAAGTTAATTGGGAAGGCTCAAGGTCTGCCTCAGGGTGCAGTTTAAGTTACCATTTGGGGCCTGGGATTATATAGTGTGTCACTAATGGTAGTTGTAGACAAGCAGGTGAACAAGTGTGTCAAGAGGTGTAGGTTGAGCTGTCAATCATGTGCAGGTTTTCCAGTGCGTTTGGTTCTGCATTTACTCGCAGCATGTCCACCTCCAACGGGTGGAGTCGACCGGTGATGACCAGCGAATGGAGTGGAGCACCGAGGTCACATGACACCAGCTGATTTAATGTTCCTACACGGATCTTTTGTTCGTCAGAGCCGAGTCGGGCCACGCCAACGCACACTGTGTCCTCCGTCATGCCTGGAAAAGGGGGGCAAAGACTCATGAGTTTGAGAGCTGCAGCGAACACAGCTGACTGGCTCTTTAAGGAAAGATGGAGTGGTCCAATCAGACACATGACTTTCAAGACTGTTAGCATGCTACTGGTTCTCCTAAGTCGTGGTTCAGAATATCCTAAAGATAAAACACAGTACTACAATATTTTTTGTAAACTTGATTATCGTTTTCCTTCTACCTGATGACTGTACCAGAACTTCAATCTGAACAAATATGGGATTGATAGAAAGTACTCGCATGTCAGGTACGACTCACCCAACTCCTCGCCCTCCTCCTTCCTCCTTTGGATGACCTGTATTAGCTGATCTGCAGCCTGGTTGACTGTCATGAAGCGAGGAGGCTCGTAGATCTTCTTCCCTCTAAAATCAGTAACCAAAGATTCACTTTAACCACATGTCATTCTCCTTTAATTCAAACCTTCACATCTGTGCAAGAAAACTTTGAAACTATGCTATATTACCAAAAGTATTCAGCCACACGTCTAAAATCATTGAGTTCAGGTGTTCATGGGCACAGGTTTATAAAATCAAACACCTACAAACATTTGTGAAAGAATGGGTCACAGGAGCTCTGTGAATCCCAGAGTGTACCGTGATAGGATGGCACCTTTCCAACAAGTCCAGTGGTGAAAATTCCTTGTTACTAAATGTTACACGATCAGCTGTTAGTGCTATTATAACAAAATAATGGATACTGAGATACATACTGCACAGAGGTCACCAACTTTCTGCAGAGTTGCTACTGACCTCCAAACTTTGTGGTCTCCTGATCACCTTGAAAAGCCACTGAACTTCTTTAAATATCCCGAAGATGCTTCACCTCTAATCTGAGGAGCTTTTTCAGTTCTAAGGCCAAGTGGTGGAGAGTCACAGATTTAAGCCAATTGATCAGTTCACAAATAATTAGTCATTCAATTCAATTTTATTTATACAGCGCCAAATCACAGCCGCCTCAAGACGCTTAATATATTAAGGTAGACCCTACAATAATAAGAAAGATCCAACAAGCATATGATACACACCCCCCCATGAGCAAGAGAGCCAGAGATTAATAATAAGTAATGATTCAATGCAGAGAGGTCTATTAACACATACTGAGCCAGAAAGGTGACTGAAGAAGAAATACTCAATGCATCATGGGAATCCCCCAGCAGCCTACACCTGTTGCAGCATAACTAAGGGAGGATTTAGGGTCACTGATCCAGCCCTAACTATGTTCTTAATCAAAAAGGAACATTTTAAGCCTAATTTTAAAAGTAGAGATAGTGTCTGTCCCCTGAATCCTGTCCTTGGTGAATCTAAATGGCAAGTAGTTGTTTCTGTGTTAGCCCTACGGGTTTTTTCCGAGTGTGCAAAGCCGGGTCTGCCATTCAGTGATCCTGGAGCTGCAAACAGGCTATAATCATTACAAGTATCGTTATTACTAAAGGAGGCTGAGGAGTAACTAAACATCTAACATGATGAACAGGAAAGTGCAGGAGGTGAAGAGGCCATGCTGCTAGCGAGTCGGTAACGAGCTGAGCTAAGATAGCGAATCCCTAAAGAATGTGAATGTAATTAGTGGGTGAATCAGCAGAGAATGTGCTTTTGATAGAGCACGTGAAGAATACACTATGAAATAAGATGTCATCTATAATCTTTTTGATTAAATTGCTACGCAGACAAGCCACGCAAAAACGTCATGTGGACATGGTCTGGGTTTCTGGTTCTGACAAATGCTGACTGAGGGTTAAGTCAGAAAATAACAGACCTCACATGGTGAGATCTCTAACACTCCAGAGGTGGTTGTGGATGTGATCTGGATCTGATTCTTACCTCATCATGTTCTCGATGCTCTGCTCTTTGACTTTAATATCTAACAATAAAACCAAAACAAGAAGAAAACTGTATTAAACACATATCGCACTGTTTTTACTTTTAATCTCAGAACTAAACGTGCACTTACATCCCAACAGTCCCAAGAAACCATTTGATTTAAAAAAAACAAACAAAAAAAATCTACCGTTTGTATTTTCCTAATATCCTTTTAAATTAATATCCAATGTAAAATATCGCACAGAAATGTGTCAGTTTTATTTTAAATAAAAATTCTCACCCGTTAAAAATGGATGCGGCTCAGGGAACAGAGTGGGTTGGGAAGTTGGTAGTTCAATCCCTGGCTCGTCGATTTGCATGTCAAACCCAAGTTGCCACGGATGCACACATTACTGTGAGTGTGTTAATGTTAGATAGAAAGCACTTAGGCAGAAAAAAGTGTTTGTGTGTGTGTTGGGTAAATGAGGCTTGTGGTAAAAAAAAAATGCTTTGAGTGGTCAAACTAGAAAAGCACCATGCAAGCACAGTACAGAATTTACAAAACATTTCCAAACCATGCTTTTATTTTTACTAGAATCAAGCACAGGAAATTAATTAAGCAGAAGAGAATGGATGGATAAGAATGTAAGTAAGTATTCTGGTAAATGGACTGGTTTTTATAGAGCGTTTTAATACTCTGGTTGAGCACTAAGAGCACTTCAAGTACAACCCTCATTCACCGAGTCATACAAGAACTTTTTCTGTGCCTAAGTGCTTTCTATCTAACATTCTCACTCTAATGAGTGCATCCATGGACAGTAGTAGTACTGCTCTACCTCCTGAGCCACAGCTACCCAGTTACCAATTTACAAATAAACAATTTCTGTCATATTGCAGACTGAAGGTTCTTGAGGTTTCGACAACAAACCACATAACATTACAAAAAAACATTATATAAAAAAATGCTGTCGACCGCCAGTGCCATCCCTCACACACCCATAGTACAAATTTCTAAAATATTTCACCTTGTTCCCGAGTTATCTCACTCACACAATTTTAAGAAAACCTCTGACCTTGAGGTCAAGGTCACTGATTATTTAAATAAATACACCTATGGTATCAATTTGAAGCTCCTGTGTCGCCCTATTCTTGATTCATCGCATTCACAAACTTGGGTTTCCATGAAACCTGCCCTTCTGGCCAACTAAAAATCTAAAGTAGGGTGAAACATTTCAGCAAAATCTTATTATTTTCTGTCAGCTAAAGAGAAATCTCACCGATCACGTAACAGTATGGCTGTTATTTTCGTAATATTTTATTTAATGCTCTATTTTAAGATGTGCAGTGTCTGTAAATAATCTCTTTTAATTATGACGCAGCTTTTTTCATCACTGTTGCTGTTTTACTTACTTATGAATAATTCCCTATTATGTTAAAAATGTCCAAAATCATAGTGAATTCTTGAAATAAATAAATGGCTCATCTGGGTGTCCTGCCGTGTTTGTGAAGTCAAAAAACATGGCCGTGCTCTTTTGTAAATGTGTGTGTGGAGAAGTAATAGATGAGGTACGGACACCAGCATCAATCATCCCAGGGACCCCAAATGCCCCAAACGCCCATAAATTAGGAGTCCAGTGGGAGGTGGATGACCTGCTGGTGAGTGGGTGTGTTTTAAATATTCATTACAGAAAAAAATAAAAGAGCCTCAGATGGCCATCAGCATTATTTCAGATTAATTCACAATGACTGTGTTTTGATTCAGACCTTTTGTTTGCATATTTTCAATAATGTTTTACATTTTTAATACGTTTTATGTTAAAATGCCTTCTTTCATCATTATTTTTTACTAAATTGTACTACTTTTCTTGGATATATATATTTTTCTACTTTGTTAATGAAATGATTTCAATTCAGTTTAGAAAATAACATGAAATTTCAGTGGTATCGGTTTTTGTTTCAAATATAAATAATTGTATTCTATTATCCTATTTTTTTGTTTTACATTATAATTTTATCTTGGATATTGTGGATTTTATTTTAGGAGATTTGTCTGTGTTTGTGTGCAAGCCTCACCCAGCAGACAGAGTGTGTGCAGTCCAGCTGTTCGGTTTTTACAAATTTTGTCGTAGAAGCTCTCTGGTCTCCACGTCTCTGTCCAAAACACTACAGACACCGTTTCTCCAAAATTATACAACTGAAACACACACAGACAAACACATGTTTCCATCACATCAAAGGGCTTTTTCCCCAACAGCTATTTCCAGGAGAATCACAGTTTCTTGTCCCTCAAAAGGAAGCGAGCCCTCACAATGTGATAATGTAAGCAAGTGTATAGTCAAATATGAGACTGTAAAATGGTTGATTGACATTTTTGTATTTCGCTGGTTAAAAAACATAAACATACTCCTGGAGGTAGCGATATCAATGTCTTGAATGGAAAAACAGAGAAACAGATTAGACTTTGCAGAAAACATCTAAAAGAGCCAGTGAAGTTCAGAAAAAATGAAACCAAGATGAACTCATACCAGAAGGACGGGAACAGAAAAGCATGGAGGTGGCAGTGTTATTTAATGGGCATGTACAGCTACCAGTGGAACCAGTTAACTGTTTTGGAAGTGGTAGGATGAATTGTGAAGTGTACAGGACTTTCTGTACGATCGGCTTGGATACAACTAAAACTACAAACTGATTGCACAGAACTTCACATAACAAATGGACAATGAACCAAAGTAAACTGCAAAAGTAACAAGAGTTTCTAAAGCCAAAGAAACTGGATGCCTCTGTCAGCGCGCCCCAGGGTGGCTGTGGCTACAATGTAGCTGCCATCACCAGTGTGTGAATGTGTGTGTGAATGGGTGGATGACTGGTTGTGTAAAGTGCTTTGGGGTCCTTAGGGACTAGTAAAGCGCTATACAAATACAGGCCATTTACCATTTTTACCATTTCAAATTGTGTTAGTTTGTCCAAATACTTTTGAGACTGAAAAATGGGGCACTATGCAGTCATGCGCAGAAGTCTTGGGTTATTTCTTTATAATTAAATTATCCTCAACGCACTTATACTGTGCTAGGACACCGGGAAACAAGTGCAGTTGTTTCTTCAAAGGTGCAAACATAAGTAGAAATATAGTATATACGCTAACGTTTTGTTTCAAGTCTCAAAGCTTGAAAGTCAATATTTGGTATGACCACCTTTATTCTTCAACAGACTGAACTGTTAGACAACATTTCTTCTAATTTTGTTAAGTAGTCTTCATGAATAGTTCACCATAGTTCTTTGGATGTTGGCTGACTTTTTGTTCAATTCTCGGTCAAGATAATCCTGCACTGCTCAAAAATGGTTGATGATAAATAAATAAAATTTAATTCAGTTATTTATAGCCCTGTGTCAGACTGGCAACCTGTCTAGGGTGTACCCTGCCTCTCGCCCTATGGTAGCTGGGATAGACTCGAACAGCTCCAGGTTCAGGGAGAGGACCCATCTGCCATGACCGGTTGGGAGCAAATCCAAGCAAATCCAAACTAGGAGCTGGTTCCACAGAAGAGGGGTCTGAAAGCTGGAGGCTCTGCCTCCCTTTCATGTTTTTCTACCTAGAAATCTCTTGCACTCCAAGAGGGAAGTGTTCTACTGGGGTGATAATATATGAGGAGAAGGATTATAAATTTGATTTGGGTTTAACACAGAATCAATGAAGAGAAGCCAATATAGGCGCTCTCTTTCTTATCCCTGTCAGTGCTGCAGCACTTTGGATCAACTGAAGACTTTTCTGGAAGTTTTAATATGCACACTGAAGTACATTTCCTCAAAAATGACTCCATGAGTCCTCACATTGTTACTGGAGGCCAAAGTAATGCCATCCAGAGCAGGTGTCTGGTTAGACATCACGTTTTTGGATTTTTAGGGCTGAGTACAATAACCTCATATTTGTCTGGTTTTAGAAGCAGGAAATTGGAAGCCATCCATGTCTTTATATCTTTAAGATATTAATGCAGTTTAACTAATTACTGTGTGCCACCTGGTTTTATGGACAGATAAAGCATGTTGTGCTGCCTTCTTCTAATACTGCCTTACATGTAAAATGTAAATAGAATTGGTTCTAGCACTTTTGCGCCACGCTGCTAGTAACAAAGTTCCTAAAGATGCAATTAAAAAGTGGTTCTTTGCCAAGTTGTCTCTTATGTGTAGACACAACACTGGCTCTTAAGTGTGGAACTCCAAACTAAGTTTAATGTGAGATACTTCCCATTTATATGACCCCTTTGTTAAATCATGAATTAACTGCAATTAGCTACATTTTTTGGAAAGTTGAGCTCAACTTCACCCATTCTGAAATACTGCCAGACTTTTTGAATCTGGAAATCATTTAAATGTCTAACAAAGTGAAATAGGCTTGATTGTCTCAAAAGGGAAAACATCATACAAAAGGGAACATAAGAATAGGACAAATAAAATCATTGACATCTATCAGTATGGAAAGGATTATAAAGCCATTCATAAGGCTTGTGGACTCCAGAGAACCAAAGTGAGACTTGTTATCCACAAATGGAGAAAAGTGGTAAACCTTCATAAAAAACCCAGAACAACATCTAAAGAACTGCAGGCCTCACTCCTCTCAGTTAATGTTAGAGTTCATGATTTAACAATAAGAATGAGACTGGGCAAGAATGGCATTCATGGGAGAGTTCCAAGAAGAAAACCACTGCTGACCAAAAAGCACACAAAGGCTTGTGTTTGCCAAAAACATCTTGAAGATCCCCAAGACTTTTGGGAAAATAAGCCTCATCAAGATGGCAGCCCCTCCAAGGATATTACATATGACATCTATACGACAGTGCTTTTTTTGGTTCTGTCAAGTCTTTTTTTTCCTTTGTAGATTCAACTAGATTCGAGAAATGAGAGCAAATGATGTGCTTTTGCGACACACTGCTAGTAACAAAGTTCCTAAAGATGCAATTAAAAAGTGGTTCTTTGGTAAGTTGTTTCTTATGTGTAGACAACACTGGCTCTTAAGTGCTTTACATTTTTGAATGATTGGGTGGCGTAACAACAAAAAACCATTTGAAAATGGTTTAGGTACAAGAACTGGACTGAAAATTAATAATAATAATAAAAAGAAGCAGCTAATGCCCAGAGAAACACTCTGAATGACCTTTAGAAAGACTGGAAAACTTGGTTTACAATCCTCCGTGGTGGGTTACAGAAGCAAAATTGCAATTCTTTTTTTACCTTTCTATAAACGTGCCTGGACCTGACTGAACACACATCAAGATACTAGCCAATGCTTAATAACAGAGGGCGTTGTTAATCAGTTTTACATAGATAGAATACCCAACAGTCAAACAATGTCCTATGAACAGCACTTGGTAGAGGTGGGAAAGAAGAACTCTTTTTTTTTCTTGTTTTTTTAAAATCGAGAAGAGAACTCCGGCAGAACCAATCAGCAGGGGGCACCATCTGCCACTAGCAACTCAAGATGCAAAAAAGAGACAGAGTCCTAATGTGCATGTGCTAATGTGACTGAATGCAAATTAACACAAAAGAGCTCATGTCTGAAAGGTGCTGAACAGTGAAATTCTGAAGAGCTGTTCTTGGATAAATGTTTTTTGCTGATTATTATTAGTTTTATCTATAAATAAAACACCATCAAGAAAATTAATGTACTGTTTGTTTTATAGAGAAAAGCCCTGAAGGACTCCAGTTGTGAGTGTGAGTGCATAGCACCTAGAGGAAGGAATAGAGCTCATTTGCATGTGTCCTTTCTCATTAGCATATTAACTACTCCCACTGGAAATGCTGTCTTTACATTAATGCTAATCTTTGCATGTTTGCAGGAGGAGGAGCTGCAGCTGGGTTCTGCTCTATGATTGGCTGCTCTGACAGTTCAGTTATTGATGAGATGGAATTATTGAGAGGTGTTTACTGTGACAAAAAGGTTCGTCATGAGCTGCAGCTGCACTCATGACACAAATACAAACACAGTTTGTGCAAAAAAATGGAAGTGGTTTCCAACTCCTTCAGTTGCATAAAAACCAGCTCTCCTGATCTGTCACCGCAGTAAACACTATTCTGGTGACTCAATGGGCTTAATCCCTTTTGGAAATGATGGTCATTAGTAGGCTTAGAAAGGATGACAGATTCTTGACTTTACAGTCAAACCCATGCTTTGCTTGTCAATCATGAACAACTCCTCCAGGGGAAGCACCATGGGGGCTGCCACAATGAGCCCGCACCCTCCACAAGCAGCCAGCTACGCCAGAGCAGACCGAGCTCTTGGCCCAGAGACTTGAGACCCAAGGACATCCCACCCCCCAGCGGGGGCCAGACAGAGCCAGGGGCCCAAGCCCTGCAAGCAGGTGCCAGGAGCAAGCCAGTACACACCTGAGCTACCAGGCTCGGACACTACACCAGACTACATAAGACAGCTGACAATGTATCTGTAACATGCAACTTCTGTCGGTGCTGTGTTACTGGAAACTGAATTTCCCAGAGGAACCCACCTGAGGGATTTTTAAAGTTTCATCTAATCTAATCTCTAATCTAGATACCCAGGTTGAGTCCATCCTGCAACTCTGGTAGATTCCCCCCCCCTCTCTGCCTGCAGCGTGGTCTCCTCAAAAGTAGAGAGCACCTTCAAAAAGATGGCAAAAACACTCCCTGCCAGCTAAAGAGGCCCCCAGTTCCACCAATGCACCAAAGGGCCACGGCCAGGCCCCAGTGCATGCAGCAACCCAAAACCCCGTCAAAACACCAGCTAGGACCCAAGCCCCCGGGGCCTAGCCAGAACCAGAGCATGGAGGTGGTACACCCCCAGAACTCCAAGTCACCAAGCCCACCCCGCACTCACCCAGGAGCAGCACAGCTACCAGACCGGTCACCCACACCAGGTCTCTTTTGTGCCACGGACCGGTTTATGTCCGACAATATTTTCACGGACTGCCCTTTAAGGTTTCGCGGATAAATACAACAAAATAAAACCAGTACCGGTACCCCCCAAAAAAGATTTATTCATAACACACAGGAAAAGACCAGGAAGGCCCTGCACTACAGGGGAGCTGCCACCAAGGACTATTTAACTGTCTCATTAACCTTGCTGCTAGTGATGACCAGGTCATCTCTCTCATTCCCAGACTCTGCTTCCAATACAGAATACTATGTCCACAGTTGAAGTCAGCTACACCCCACCCCCACTAAACAGAATGTAAGTGGAGCACCACCTTCCCTTTCTGAGTTGGGCTGACAGTTTGCTAGAATCACTTGGAAGCAGACTCAAAGTCTTTTTCGGTTGCTTTACCTGGCCGGGCCCCAGAGGCTAAGGCCTGGCCACCAGGCACTCTCTGGCCAGCTCTGGTTGAGCAGTTTAGACAGAAGGTTTGAGCAACATGGCTAAGAAGGTTTGGACATGCACAGAGGAGCGATAGTGAAGAGAATACAGTTCATTTATTTTTTAAACCCGCCTTTTCATTTTCATTATGTCTTCAAGTTAGGGAAAGGTGTTTTGATTGACAACTGTGAAAACATTAGCTGACAACTCTCCACCCTGCATCCAAATATGGTCACTTCTGCACCCCCCCCCCCCCCCCCCCCCCCCCAAAAAAAAAAAAACCAAACCCCCCCCCCCCACCCCCGAAAGCAGCCAAAAGCCACTGAGGACTCCCAGCACTGGAGTCACAGTGACTCTATTCCTTCTATTATCAGCACTGACTCCTATGCAGTGAACAGAGTAGAAACCATCAGGCTACACACATAAACAGCAGTTTTTCTTCCTGCATTTTCAAACCAGTTTCATCTCTGGACTTTAGTCCCCCGTGGAATCATTACATTATTGTTGTTGCTTGCCACTAGGTGGAAAAATATAAAGAAGTTTAAAAAAATGCAGAAAAAGAAAGTGGATGTGTTTGAGCCTGTGTTTGGAAGTTCTGCTTCACAGACTCAGTTCAGGAAATAATTACCTGCAAACCACAGCAGCCCACTGCATTCATGACGGAGGCATTGTGAATGACTTTGTATGGTATCCCAGCATTCACTGCTCTCAGCACTAGGTCACTGTGTGTGGTGGCTCTGCAGAAAGACACAGAAAACAAGGGCAGCCTTTTCTTATAAAATACACAAAATCTATTCAGCTGCTATATGCCTGGTGCCTATGTAACAGCAAACTAGCTGACAATGAGTTGACTCATTATTATTACAGTAAACTAACCTATGAAGATAACAGGTTTTCCCCAGTGTTGTGTTGGACAGACTGAATGACAGAGTAATGTATAGATGCTGAGGTCACGGACAGGTCAAACCTCAGTGTGATGAAAAAAAGCTTCATTATAGTTTTCAGTGGGCCAAAAAAGAACCCATGTTTTTTTTGATGAAAAACCGAGTCTGAAATTCCCACGGACAAGACTATAGAGCTTGTATATTCCATTCAGCAGGCGAGCTGCTCAGCACTCTGTTATTATGTCTGAGAGGAATAATGTGGCTTTGGGCAGAAATCTGCTGAAATGTAAAAACTCTGCTCTGACACAAACTCTGTGGTTTTATCTTCCTCTGCTGCTCCCCACTACAGTGCGTGTGCTGACAGAGCATACTTCAGATCTGTGGGATCAATTGGAGCTGTTGCTTACACAGTCCAGAAACACTGTGACTCACCCAAATGGGTCGCCCACCACCAGAAATGCCACATCAGTGACATCTGCATCCTCCAGGATTTGATCAGCTCCTTGTTCAACTAGATCTCTGTCTGCCAGGATCAGCTGCTTCCCATAGTACTCCTCCTGAAGCAAAGGAATATACTGTTAGGATATTTTAACAAGAATACTAAGAGCAGACACGTACTATTCAAGTAGATGTTCATTTTCTATTTAGTTCTCACTCTCCTGAGACCCTGCATTGAATAAGCAAAAGATGGATGGACTGGTGATTACAAAGTACTAATTGAAGCGTTCAGATCACTTTCTACAAGTCTCATTTACCCAATCACACAGGCCCACATTCATACTCAACTTTAGTCTATACCTAAACACTTTCTTTTAGTCATATGCACCCACTCACACTCCGATGATAATTGGAGGGCAACTCGCTCTTTAGTATCATGCCCAAGAATACTTTGACATGTGGACTGGAGCAGCTGGGGATCAATTGAGTAACCTGCTGACTGCACCTTGGGCTGTGCTCTGAAGGACATGTCGTTGTCAAATACAACTCCAAGATTCCTCACAGTGTTACTGGAGGCTAAGGCAATGACATCCAGAGTAAGCATATGGTTACATATTTCGAAGGTTTTAGGGCCGCATACAATAACTTTATCTGAATTCAGAACAGGAAATTAGAGGTCATCCAGGTCTTTATGTCTTGAAGACATTCCTGCAGCTTAACTAACTGGTGTGGTTTATCTGGCTTTAAGGACTGATAAAGTTGGGTGTCATCTGCATAGAGAGACATCAGCCCATACACCGTGCTGCCCTGGCAGCATGAGTGGGTGCTCAGGAACCTGAATGTGAGCTGGGAGCTGACGCTGCACACTCATGGGGGTCAGAAGGTCGTGCTGGAGCAGAGCCGAGCCTACTTCTTAGAGTCCTCCGCGATCGTCCGCTGGAGCGCAGGGTGCTTCCCGTCCTACCATCACATCAGCAGCATGGAGTCAGCCAAGAAGCTGGCCTGGCGCTCTAGGATTTTAAACCTATATATGCAGACTCATCCATAGAAGTTCATCGGCAAAGACAGACAGATCAGGCATCGGCATCTGGAGGGGTCGGAGTATTGTGGCCTTCATCATGAACAGCCTGCACTTCCACAGGCTGGTGGAGAAGATTCTGCCGGGATCTCCAGTCTGCCCATACTCCGGATCTTTGGACCCGCCCCCCCCCGTGGACGAATCAGACCCTGAATTTGGTCTCCACAACTACACTCTGCACTTCCTCCAGCATGCAGATCATGTAGGGACACTTTTGGCAGCTCTCCTGCAGCACAATTCAGCAGGGACTTTCTGAGTCAGCAGGACCGACATGTCCCAGCAAAAAAACACAGTTTTCCAAATAATTTCTTAGATTAGAAAATATTATGTCTATAAATATTAATAACCAGTGGGTCTAAGTTATTATTCTTGAGAATCGGAGTAATTAAAGTATATTTAATAGAAACAATGAAAATGCTAGTCTGTAGAGAACTGCTTATAATACGTACTACATCATTTGTAAAACAGTGAGATACAGATTTGAACAATTTGTTGTGGATGGGATCAAGTAAAGAGATGCAAGATTTAACTGATGAATAATTTCTTCCAGATTGTTAGCATTTACAGGTGAGAATGAGGACATTGAGCTTGTGGTATTAATTTGATCAAAATGTGAGGAAGTCCTAGATAAATTAATATGAGAGACATTAGACATCTCTAATCGTACACCGATCGTCTGAAGAAAGCAAGAAATTACATTTATTTGTTGAAATTAATTCATTGAATTATCCAATTCAGGACCCAGGTCTGAATATGCAGTTAAAAAACCCGACGGGATTCATCCTTTTGATTTACTATAATTACTCATTGTAAATCATATGATGTCTTCGAGTAACACGTACTGAAACCCAGTTCTTATGTAAAAAGTAAGACATTTCTTCCTAGTTCTGAATCAGTCCTACAGCCAAAACAAGCAGCTCCTCTCCTGGGACGAGCTTTCATTTCAGCTCTGGTCCAAATCCTCCGGGTCGTAATGCTCCGGACTCACCAGCGCCTCTTTGCCCACGGTGAGAATGGATGTGTAGGCCTCCAGGTAAACTCTGGAGCAGCTCTTCACCGCCTGTAAACCCTTCACTGTAATGTCTGTGGCGTCTCCGAGCCCCAGACCGATCAGATACAGCATCCTGCCGGTCCCGCCTTCCGTACAGGGTCCGTGTTACTGCCGCAGCACTTAACGGAGCTAAAACTTCTTAAAAAGAAGCACCCAGGCGTGAAACTTTCCCGTATTCACGTGGGGACTCGCTGCGCTACTTGGAATACGGCTTGTCGTGAACTGTTTACAGTTGCGACAGCCACAGCCGCGATACGGTTAAGTCTTCAGCCGACGGCAAGCCCTGATACATGGCTCGCATATGTTTACAACTTGATCTAGTTTCTTGTTAAGCGGGAGCTTTGAGTAGTTTTACTAGAGCTTGATTTACAAGCGGGTCTGCATGTGTCCATCATGGCAGCAGTCTTTCTGTTGGAAATAACCGTAAAACTTGTGTATATCTTACTTCTGAATTACAAGCAGCTCAATGAACTTCATTTTTGTGTCAGGAGAAGCAGAAATGGCTAAAAGTAGAAAGTATCAGTGTGACAATGAACTTCCTCCTTCAAGGAGACAGAGCAGCAGAGAGGCATGTAAGCATGTAAGACTGCATTATTATGATTATTCCGGTTGGGGGGCTTTTCAGATTTCCACAAATGACAGCTGCTCCATCCATCCAAAGTGGGATGGATGCCGTTGTTTTTGATACAGAAAATCTCCTAATTATCTGTAAAAACTGACATCGTTTTGTACACAGCAGTACAAAATGATGTGATTGGGGAGGGGACCCGAGAGAAAACAGTCCAACATAGCAGTTTTCTAATCTCCCTGCGCACTCAAAGCACCTCATTCACACCAGCACTTTTTCTATTCAAGTTCTTTTTATACAACACTCACATCCATACTCTGATGAATACATCAGAGAACAACTTGTGGTTAGTATCTTGTCCACAAACATTTTTGCATGCAGACTGGAAGCAGCCAGAGATCAAACCATCGACCTTCCAATTAGTAGATGACCTGCTGTACCTCCTTCTCTACCTCCCAAGCAACTCCTAAGTAGCTTGGGGTGAGTGCAGCTTGAGTGGAGTGCAGGATTTCTCCAGTGGAGAGCTACATTATTACAAACTGGAATCTGTTTGGAACGGCTGGTCTCTAAGTTTTAGTAAAAGAACATTATTTATCATTAGATCACAAGCTGTCCGAATTACGACATTGATGTCCCATGTCGCTTTAAAAAAAGAAGTTTTATAGCATACCTATCGTTGTACATGTACAGTGACAATAAAGGGCTATTCTATTCTAAGTTTGAAAAAAAAAGTTGACCAATTTTTCCAAGAAGCCATGTCTCAGTCTAGGAGGATGATATATAGTGAGGACTAATACAGGCAGAAATACAGAGTTATTACTAAACTTTTTTTAAATATATAGAACAGTAATCCCACCACCCCTCCGAGATGTCAAGGAGAGTAACAAAGAGTTGTATAACAGACAAATTAGTCGTATTTCACTAAAATCTGGAGGTTTTCTGCGAACTGCGAGGGATGGGTGGACAACAGATGACTGGCTACTGAAAAATGCATCTGTCCTTCAGTTGAATGAACTAAAAATAAGATACAAACCTTTATTAGTCCCACACATGGGAAATATTTTTGATATTATGGTAACAGCAAGATCCTTTTTGGGCTTTCCACCCAGCAGACATACTATTTAAATGAACTTTAATGGTCACATAAAAACTGCATGCATATAATTACCATTCATATCTGATTAAAGCCAAACAAACATGCAAAAAATTGAAATAAAACAGAAAGCATTCAGAAAGTCTATGAACTTTATCCTAAAATAAGTCTGTCACAGTTGAGAGGCAAGAGAAGAGAGACTATGAATAGCAAACAGAATAAAACAGATTACAGAAAATTACACAGAACTGAATTGAATTTCATTTCCCCTTTCCATCCACAGAGTAGCTACACCAGGGGTGGGCAATCTGAGTCCACGAGGGCCGGTGTCCCTGCAGGTTTTAGATGTGTCCTCGAACCAACAGAGCTGATTTAAATGGCTAAATGAGCTCCTCAACATGTCCTGAAGTTCTCCAGAGGCCTGGTAACGAACTAATCACGTGATTCAGGGGTGTTGACCCAAGGTGAGATCTAAAACCTGCAGGACACTGGCCCTCGTGGACTGAGATTGCCCCCCCCGGCTACACTGTGGTGCACAGAAAGGAAGTTCAGGTGTCTTTAGAGTTTTAATCGTGTAGTTTTCATGAAGTGGACAAACACATGGACTAATGTGAAACTGTTTCTGCTCCCATTCCCATTCCTTCACCCTCCCACCCCTTGCTGCTTTTTAATTTTAAATAACTTTTCTGCACAAAGAAAATCTTGAATTGGCACCATCAAATCTTAAAGGTCTCATAGTACATTATCATACTAACAGAGCACTTTGCTTGCAGACTGGGCAGGGCCAGCTGCAAGCAAAGTGGGCCTTGCTTTTTAGCCATTTTAACTTTGTTATAACCTAACCTACCTATTGCTACGATATTACAAGTGCCAAAAACTACAGTTTGGTACATCCTGAGAAACAAAGAAAGCCCTGGTGAACTCAGTAATACAAAAAGACCTGGACGACCATGGTGTGTGAGGGATGGGTGGACAACAGATGACTGGCTACTGAAAAATGCATCTGTCCTTCAGTTGAATGAACTAAAAATAAGATACAAACCTTTATTAGTCCCACACATGGGAAATACTTTGATATTATGGTAACAGCAAGATCCTTTTTGGGCTTTCCACCCAGCAGACATACTATTTAAATGAACTTTAATGGTCACATAAAAACTGCATGCATATAATTACCATTCATATCTGATTAAAGCCAAACAAACATGCAAAAAATTGAAATAAAACAGAAAGCATTCAGAAAGTCTATGAACTTTATCCTAAAATAAGTCTGTCACAGTTGAGAGGCAAGAGAAGAGAGACTATGAATAGCAAACAGATTAAAACAGACTACAGAAAATTAAACAGAAATGAATTGAATTTCATTTCCCCTTTCCATCCACAGAGTAGCTACACCCACCAGGGGTGGGCAATCTCAGTCCACGAGGGCCGGTGTCCCTGCAGGTTTTAGATGTGTCCTCGAACCAACACAGCTGATTTAAATGGCTAAATGAGCTCCTCAACATGTCCTGAAGTTCTCCAGAGGCCTGGTAACGAACTAATCACGTGATTCAGGGGTGTTGACCCAAGGTGAGATCTAAAACCTGCAGGACACCGGCCCTTGTGGACTGAGATTGCCCCCCTCGGGCTACACTGTGGTGCACAGAAAGGACGTTCAGGTGTCTTTAGAATTTTAATCGTGTAGTTTTCATGAAGTGGACAAACACATGGACAGATGTGAAACTGTTGCTGCTCCCACTCCCATTCCTTCACCCTCCCACCCCTTGCTGCTTTTGCTTGAGCAGTCGTTTCCATGGTGACGGCGGTCAGCAGCACAGCGACTGAAAGCATTTGAGTTGTGAATGAGTTGGTGGGAAAAGCTGCTTCGCCTCTTCTTTTTTAACTCCCTTTCTTACTTTTTTTCTTCACAGTCTGTTTCTCCCTCGTTCAACCCTTGTTTTGGTAAACAAGCCCCTGCACCACGTGATCCTTCCCATCCCCTTCACTCTTTTAACTGGGAACCAGTTAATGAGTGAGATGGTTGGTGGGTTACATAATGGGATCCTTTTTTTTTTTCTGCGATGGGGTGAAGAGGAGGGTGGTTGGAGAGGCAGATTGTGGTCTTTTGTTGCTGTGTTTCAGGGTTTGTTGGAGTCCAGTCATCCAGAGAATTGACACTCTGTCTCTGTTAACTGTTTCTCTTCAGGTTCAAATCCTGACAAACTCTGATCTGGATCTGCCCCTCAAAGGAAAAGGCAAAGCAAACAAATTTACAGTTACAAACAATTAAAATAATTTCCAGCCCTGTGATTCATAATTCAATTTAGCAGATTTCATTTATCATGTCCTTCTTTTAAAGATCAAAGTAGATTTTATGAGTCAGTAGCTCAGGTGTTTTTGCCCCATTCGATTTTAATTTGTGCAGTTTATAAAAGCTCAGAAAAACATCAAACTATGTCCTGTGGTACATTAACAACACAGTAAACCAAAGCGCAAGACAGAAACACAGAGTGAAACTCTATGGGATGTCCTTTTCGTTAAGACATGTGAGTTGTTTAACTATTGCCCACAAACAGCCAATCATCAGCTGAACTTGAAATCATGTGAGACAATCATTTAGGTGTCCTCTAACATGGGGTGGACAGGTGAAGACAGATCCAGCAAAGGTCAAAGCAGTGCAGGGGTGGCCCGTTCCTAAGCCATGAAGGGAACTCCCCTGCTTCCTTGGGTTTGCTAACTTTTACAGACACTTCATCAGAAACTACAGTCAAGTTGCTGCTCCCTTCACTCGTCTCACCTCCTCTAAGATACCATCCACCTGGCCCTGGGAGGCCCACACTGTCTTCACTAAATGAAAGCAGCTATTTGCCTCTGCCCCCATTCTAATTCACCCAGGTACTAATAAGCAGTTCATCGTGTACGTCGATGCATTAGACGTAGCAGTAGGGGCAGTGCTATCCCACAGATACGAACCTCAAGGTAAACGCCAGCTCTATTTATGTCACCTCACCCCCACCAGGCAAAACTATAACGTGGGGGATAGAGAGCTTCTGGAAATTATAAATTAACCCTGGAATGATGGCATCCCTGGCTGGAGGGAGCCATACAGTTGTTTCTCATATGGACAGATTAAAAAAATGGCCTGTATTTGTATAGCGCTTTACTACTCCCTAAGGAACCTAAAGCACTTTACACACTCAGTCATCCACCCATTCACACACTGGTGATGGCAAGCTACATTGTAGCCACAGCTGCCCTGGGGCACGCTGACAGAGGCGAGGCTGCCGGACACTGGCGCCACCGGGCCCTCTGACCACCACCAGTAGGTAACGGGTGAAGTGTCTTACCCAAGGAAACAACGACCGAGACTGTCTGAGCCAGGGCTCGAACCGGCAACCTTCCAATTACAAGACGAACTGCCAACTCCTGAGCCACGATTGCCCATAGCTCCGAAATGCTAAAGGACTTAATTTCCAGCAAGCTCGCTGGTCTCTGTCTTTCATCCAAGTTAATCTCTCTCTCTCCTGTCACCCAGGCTCTCAGAATACCAAGCCAGAAGCACTTTCCCACCAGTATTCCTCAGATAATGAACAATTCTTCCCAGCTCCCATTCTACCTGCCACCTGCAGGGTGGGTGCTCTCACCTGGGACATTGAAAGCTTTTATCAGCGTATGTGGCCTATATCAGAAATATTTCTTAGTATTCCTGTGTTTCTGTATTTGAGTAATTAGCTTTTTTTGTTACCTTGTATTTAGGTTTCTGTTTGTGTACTAAATGTCTTCATGTTTTCTTGTTTATTTTCTCCCTTTACTCTGCTTCTAGTATTTGTTAGTTATTTAGATTGTAATGTACATGGCTCAATTATTTGTTGAAAAACAATTAAAACATAAGAGATAGGGATTAAGAAAGAACGAGGGCCCAGAGAGTCTGTTTATCATAGGGCATAGAGCTCCACGCTGCTCAAAGTATTAAAACGTTTGCAAAATGATCCATAAAGTCCAATTTTTTCTTCCAATTTTTAAATTGGCAGACAAATAAGAAGTAATCTGAATTTTTTTTAATGTCTTGGTCTGAAGATTTTCTGCAAGTTCTCGTTAACATTGGGAAAACTTGTGGCCTGTGCAAAATATTTTAACCTTTTTTCATAAAACACATTATGAAGATGGAGCATTTAAGTTTTACTAATAATACTTTAGACCTATATTAGTATAATATTTATCTTAGTCTTAGATCATGAGCTTAGTTGCAATTCTAAAAATGTAAGTGACAGTTGTGCTCTGTGTTTGTAAAGTGCTCACAGCTTCAGAAACTACCAGCGATGCAATCTGATGTCAGACTGTCTCTGTTTGACAGAAACAGGCTCAAACAGATAAAGACTTAGGGCAGGATTAAAGCTGTTTAATGTTTGGTGAAGGTCAATCATACCTTAGATCATTTCACTGTGTCAAGAACCACAAGTGCAGACTCCTGAGGCAAAGAGAATAAACTGAAGATGTACCGTTATTATGAAGATGAAGATTCAAAACAAGGTTATTAACGCCATAGAAAGACTAAGGTGAAGGAAGGGAACCCGCAAACCTAACTGTGACTAGAAAAAGAGACATATCCCCTATAATGACATCTTTTCATTGGCTCCTTGTTAAATCCAGAATTAAATTTAAATAACTTTTCTGCACAAATAAAATCTTGAATGGGCACCATCAAATCTTAAAGGCCTCATAGTACATTATCATACTAACAGAGCGGTGCAAGCAAAGTGGGCCTTGCTTTTTAGCCATTTTAACTTTGTTATAACCTAACCTACCTATTGCTACAATATTACAAGTGGCAAAAACTACAGTTTGGTACATCCTGAGAAACAAAGAAATCCCTGGTGAACTCAGTAACACAAAAAGACCTGGACGACCATGGAAAACAATAGAGGTGGATGATCGCAGAATCATTTTCATGATGAAGAGAAACCCCTTCACAACAGCCATCCAAGTGAACAACACTCCCCAGGGAGTATGTGTATCCATATCCAAATCTACCATAAAGAGAAGACTGCATGAAAGTAAATACAGAAAGTTCACTGCAAGGTGCAAACAACTCATAACCCTCAAATCAGAGTAGCTGGAGAGAACCCACGCAAACAGAAAGGCCCTGGCCAGATGATGGGGTCAAACTGAAGACCTTCGTCCTGTGAGACAACAGCGTTAATCACTGTGTCACCATTGTTATATACACTGCTATATAGACCCTGTTAAAACTAATCCTGTAGCACGGGTGTTCTGCAAGAAACTGATCTGAAAGTGTTTATTGCAAAATTATCTGCTTTTGCAACTTTTTTCATCCATTGACCCAAAAGAACGAAAGCATTAGCAGATACTCAGATCAGCAAATACACTGGCCACTGACTACTTGTTGGAATTTTGAAAACATGCCATTTGTGAATGCTGTTTGGGAGAAATGTGTGGATGTCAAAGACTGTCTGCATAAAACAGTCTTTGAGAGCCACGTGTCTGGACCAAAATGGGATGGGAACATATTACTATACATAAATCTTAAGGCCTTTCCATGTATCTGGATGGATAATAAATTTGTATAGTGTTGTAGTTTTGATCTAATGCCAGTGGTTGGTAAAGCAGATGCAATAGCACATAAGAAGACTGGAAAAAACAATAGTGTAGCTGCAATGAAGGAGACTGGATGTGCAATCAAAATTTGGCCAGGTGCAAATAAAGGTAAACTAGAAACGAACCTGCGGATTGGGCCCGGTATCAAGTCTCTATTGTAGTGAGAGCTTGGTTCGAGTTTCCCCAGAATTCCTCTCTCTCTCTTCTGATGGATATCCAACCTGTGGGGCATACACACTGACCACATTTCATCACATATTCAATTTTCAGCTTCAAACTCGTGATCCTGTCTGACACTTGCTTTACCTCCACAATACTATTCACATCCTCTTCTTAAAGATGACCCCTAATCTATTTTTTTCCTATCTACACCATGATAGAATAATTTGAATCAGCATTCAATACTCCTGGCCCTGCTTTCATTACATCTTGTCTCTTGCACATACAATATTCCTACCTTCTTTCTCTCCATCAACCAGCTGTCTCTCTTTACCAGTCATAGTTTCTACTTTCAAAGTCCCTACACTACTCCACCTCCACACTACACCCACTGCCTTTCCTTCTCTCTCACTGCCTCCAAACTTTTGTCTTTGCCCAGCAGTAGCACACTTTCCACTGGAACCATGTTGACCAGTTAACCTAGGCCCCAACCAGTTCCGTGTGGAAATCTTGATGATTTACGTTTGATTTAGTAAAGATCTTCTTGGCACTAGGAATAGATGGGCTTGTGGCCCAGCAAAAACCTCCTGGTGTGTGTTTTGTTCTGGTTTTGTACCCACAAAAATAATCCATGAAGCAGAGTGGTCTTATATGCTCTGAAGCCTCTTATTGCTGTTTTTTACTATGCTGCTGTCGGCAAAAACTATGAACTTCAAATAAAGAAGTTCAGAGTTTAAGTATATAACTACACTGTTTTCAAGAATTTGACACATTTTTAATGAAATTAATATGTAAAATATTTTCAGTTTCATGCTTTGATCCTCAGACAAAGGTCTGATAACAATACAAATCTCACTTCCACTTAGCAGCGTTTGTCCATACACGTACATTGCATAGGAATTAATATCAGAATGAATGAATTTTGTTCAAAATGAATGCTCATTTGTGCTGTTAAAAAGATGTGGTGTCTGCCATCTGCAGGTTAACAGGTGAGAACGTCAGAGTTACTTTAAATATCACAGACTTGACCTGTGATGCTTGGTTGCTTCTCTACTTTTGAGATTTTACTTGGATAATTTCCTGGAAACTGAATCTTTGTGCCACAAGTTACACAACAAAGTGAGGAGGAAGGACAGGATGGATCAGAGAAAAGTGGAATGGGTGAGGAGGGTGAGGAGGCCCTGCTCTCTTTGTGGCTCCCACAGAACCATCTCCAATTACAGGACAAAGGCAACTCATTCAGGCTTCAAGCGCCAACTCTGCAGCTTTGCATGTCTAATGAGTGTTTTGCTGAATACTAAGCGGACCCCTGGGTGCTGCAGAGGCCTCACCCTCCCTCCCCCATGCAGCACCTACATCACAAAGTTGCTCCTGTACCGCTCTGCATCGGGACATCTAAGCTTCACCTCCTCTCTCTGAAGACAACAGTCCCAGTCCTTTCCATAACAGAGTCAAAACACAGGCAAACAAAACTATGAGATGCAAAATAGGGTTGCAGTACAAAGACTAAGGAATAGTGGACGCTAATGTTGCTTGCTAATTTTAACTGGACAGAAACAAGATGGACTAGAGACTTGAATATCAGTCGAATTCAAAAAGACTGATATAGCTGGGGATGAGTTTTTTAGGTTCTGACTTGAGAGGAGTGTGCTTTGTGGACAGCCAGACCTTCTGGCCAGGGTAATAGCAGGGCACAGAGGTACAACAAAGGTCAGCGAGGTGCTTATTTTGTTCCTTCATCTGTAAAAAGGCTGCCTGGGTGACCCTCCAGATCCTGCGACAACGGCAGACAAATGGAACAGAAATCTCACCTTCCAATGCTGGAAGATGAAAAAAAGAACAGTGCAAAAACAAACAATTGAGACTGAAGTCAACAATTTGATGAGTTGATGATGAGTTTGCTATGCATGCAAACTCCTTAAACACAGACTAGTGCAGTTTGTTACAAGAGATGTAGTTGAATGACAAACCCAGATAGATCTGGAAACATATGATGTCGATACACATGGGAAGAGATTAGAATCCTTTATGGTAAAGACTGATCAGGTTGATGAAAATCCAGGGAAGATAAAAGGGCTTCAAATTGAGACACCGGTGAGTGACATTCTGGCAGGACAGGAAGAAAACTGTCAAAGCATACGCCATCCCCAGAGAGACCGAAAAAGCCCACAGTAGCTGAAGGACTATGAGTGCAAAGTGACTTGTGGGGATGATACAGCAATACACGCTGACCACAGCTACAGGGCAAATTTTAAGATGAAAGGCTTTGGAAGACTTAAACATTTCCTAGCTATTGACTTTAGACAGAGAACGAGAAGTGAGAATGAACCAAGGAGAGGTTTGAAATGTCTGACTGCAAGGGTAGATCAACTCCATGTGAACAAAAACCAAACTGTGATGGTGATTGAGAACCTGCTAACCCAAAGAAATATTGGGAGATGATAGGCAGCTTGATTTATGCAATGACATGTACAAGACCTGATTTCAGTTGGGTTGTCAGGAAACTATCACAATACCTATCAGGACCAAGGTACTTAAACGGAAATATGAAACAAGAGTTGTGTCATAAGAAAAGGGAAGAAAAACATGCATATAGTGATGCTGATCTGGTCACAGACCTAAATGACAGCCGAAGCACAACAGGATACTGTTTTAGTCTGACTGAAAGTGGTCCTATCATTTCATGGATGTTTGAAAAGCAGCCAACCGTAGCTTTATCTACATATGAAGCAGAGTATATGGCATTGGCTGCCAATACACGAGAAAATTTATATCTTTCACAGTTACTGACTGAGATGTACAGTCAGTCTTTGAAGACAAGCAAAATGCAATTGCTTTGTCAAAGAAGTTGTTGTCAGACATGTAAACATGTCAACATCAGATATCATTATATAAGCTCTGCTGTCAGTGACAGAAAGGTAGTCATTGAATATTGTCCAACAGCAGATATGGATGCAGAGGTTTTGACTAAGCCTGTGAAATAGTTGAAAAATTTGCAGCTTATCCAAAAGATGTATGTTTAATGACACTCTGAAATTAATGCACGGATGAAGGGACTCGTCCTTCTTCTCAACCAGAAAAGAACCCTGCACCCAGAGGAGAGGAGGATGGACGAATGATGTCTGCAGAGAGAGATTCGGAAATCTATTTTTACATGGTATCGAGTTCAGGTTTGAGTACCACCTCATTGTGCTTGGGGTTATTATGGCAAATTGATTAAAAAGCCCCATGAGATCATTTGTATGCCACACAAACAACACAACAATGGATGACATCAAGGCAATGGTACAGTATACCTGCTGCTAGAGTGATGGGTCTGCACCTCACTGTTGGACCAAGGTGTTGGTTTGTGTACAGCTCTTTCGGTTGTTGCCAGGTTTCAAATATGTGTTAGACTTTTGTGAAGGAGCTGCTGTAATTATTATTCATCAATTAACACCAGTGACTGGCCAGTTGGCAGCAAGAAGGTACATATAACACATCATGGCATAGAAACTACTTGGCTGAAGTTAGAAAAAGATGGTCTTAGTCCACACACCCTGTCCTCCTGGTGTCAACATGTTCCTTAATTCTCCTCCACAGTGTGCATATGAGTATAGCCCTACCTTTCTTATCTATCTACACTCATTGTTTAAGTCTTGGTCCCACCCCCATCTTTTGTGTGTCTGTTTCCCTGTTTTCAGTTATTGTTATTTCTTCCTGTTTTTTGTACGTACTTATTTGACTCTTGAGCATTGCGTTTAATTAACTCCTTTTGTCTTAATCTTTTATAGCTGTATCTCATCACCCTGCTGTGGTCATTACATGAATATCTAAACGATGAAATCATGACTGACGCAATGAAAAAAAAGTTAGATTTAATATCATTAGTCATATAAACTGTGGTTTTTTTTGTTTTTAATTTCTTTATTTTGAAAGCAGGACATGGTTTTACAGCAGGATATTAGTGTGTATGGAAGCAAACTCTGTTTATTGTCAGCATTAGAAACTGATGATAGGATCAAAAGATCCCGAATGGCAGATGGTTTTGGAGCATTTCCTCTGTGGTGTTTGTTGTGAACACAAGATTTTTTGAAAAGATCACACAGATCAACCACATAGATTTTATTTCGTGTTGAAGGACATGGGAGTCTGAAAGAACAGCAACAACTATACAACACTCTATGGGCAAGCACTTTGCAATGGTTTTAAAGAAAACCTTTCTCTCACAGGAAGAGATGTCCCTTTTTTGTAACCTTGTCCTTCCTGGAAACTTTTGCAATCAGAATTGTGATCTGAATGCAAGGTGGTGCCGAACACATTGTGCTTTGCAACAACTGCTATGTAAAGTTTCTACAGGCTCATCTTGTATATGTCAATCTTTTATCTGTTGACTTATTAATTTCTTTTGTGTTATTTCAGATATGACATTATATGTCATATCTGAAATAACTTGCTTGCTTAGACATCATATTACACGATGATGTCTAAGGTAAGACAGACAAGAGAAAAAAAAAGAGCAGGTGGGTAGAAATGGGGTGATAGAAACAAACAGAAATACACAATGTATCACCAAGTCCTGCATCAAAAGAGACAAAAAACACAAAAACAAAGCAAAACAAACATATCGCACCTGGAACGCAAAAAATGAGATAATACACAGATGTATAAATCAACTTCCTATAGTGTGTGTGAGAGACAGAGAGAGAGAGTGAGTTTGAGTGTCTTGTGGGGTAAAGATTTATTTGCAGTTCTGAGGTCAACCAAATCCTTAAATTTAAGAATATTAACTCCTCAGCCTCCCTGGGAAAGTCTATACCAGGGTGCTGGAAAGGAGGGTCCATCCATTATTTGAACCTCGGATACAGGAGGAACAATGTGGTTTTCGTCCTGGTCGTGAAACACTGGGCCAGGTCTTTATCCTCTCAAGGATACTTGAGGGTGCATGGCAGTTTGCCCAACCAGTCTATATGTGTCTTGTGGCCTTGGAGAAGGCATTCAACCGTGTCCTGTCGGAGGTGCATAGGGAGTATGGGGTGTCCAGCCCATTGCTACAGGCCATTTGATCCATATACAACATGAGCTTGGCCTGCAAGAAGTCAGACTCATTTTCAGTGGGTAATAGACTCCACCAGGGCTGCCCTTTATCACAGATTCTGTTCGTAATCTTTATGAACAGAATTTCTAGGCATGGCCATGTGGCGGAAGGCTTTCACTTGGGTAGTCTCAGAATCTCATCTCTGTTTTTCGCAGATGACGTGGTTATGTTAGATTCATCGGGTGATGGCCTCCAGCTTGCACTGGAATGGTTCGGAGCCGAGTGTGAAGCAGTGGGAATGAGAATCAGCACCTCCAAATCTGAGGCCATGGTCCTCAGCTGGAAAAGGGTGGAGT